AAACAGAAGTGGGGGGAAGCAGAGGGGAGGGGGTAAGGGGCAGGAGGGGAGGGCAGGGGAGAGAAGGGGGAGAGGGAGGGGGAAAGTCAGAAAGCGGGGGAGAGCTGGAGTGGGGGAGAAAGGGAGAGAGGGAAAGAGAAGAGAAAGGGAAAGAGAGAAGGAAAGAGGGGGGGAGAGAGAGAGATTGATTTGTACAAAAAGTAACCAGTAAAATTGAAGAAACAAAATTGGGCAACCTCCTAAAATTAGGCTAAGAGGAGGTGCTGAGGTAGACATTAACTAGAACATCATGAATTAAAAACACTATTCTGTAATACAGAGCAATTGGACTGGCACTTGTGCTGTCACGACATAAGACAAGCCACGAAAACAAACAAACAACACAACAAAACATAATACCCAAACCAAAAGGCTTAGTTTTGCTTGGTCCAGCAGGGCAGCAGGGCCCTCAGTGCTATAATTTACATACATATATATATATTTATCTTTATATATATGGGTCGGATGTCATGGTGCACCACCACGGCTTCTTAACCTTACAGAGATCATGCATCACACTATGTGAACAAACACTATGGTACACACCAGGAGGCTGGTACCCTGTCTGCAAAGTGGGATGCCAAGGACTCGGGGAGACCACGGCTGCTGGTGACAGGCTGTGGGCCCTGCACCCCACTTCCTCCCCACCCTTTTCCCCTGACCCAACCTCCCTGGTTTGTCCTGCGCCCCTCTCTAGGCCATCTCTTTTTCCTCTGCCCATCAGTCCCACCACTAGGGTTAGTCTGGCTTTTTATCCTCCCACTGAAATAACCAGGTAAGTGCCACCATTCCAGCCAAGCCAGCAAAAGCTTCAAGAAGGAGACGAGATGGGCAGGGGCAAAGATGACTATAACACAGGTCTAGGAAAACTGAGTGAACAGAGTCTAATCTTCTGCTTTTCTGTCTTACATCTTGGTGTTCCAGTTGTCACCCTAGTTCGGCTTGCCAAGGAATTGGCCAAAGAAATTCCCCCACTCCACCACCCCTTGTGGACAGAGTCCAAAGGCAGCCCCCACCTCTGCTCACTCCGCTGTAAGGAGATAAGCCAAGGGGCCCTTTCCCTTCACAGCAGTTGTACCAACAGCATCCAGAAAGGTACCATACACTTGTGAAAAATTGCAGCAGTTTTTTTTTTTTCTTTTTTCTCTAAACATGGAAAAACTGTTCAGGCACAAAGATTAAACAAGCCCGTGTTACATCCCTGGATTGTACTCAATCACTGGGTCCCCCAGCCTCCCTCCCCACCCCTGCACCCCAGATCTGCCTTCCCCATATCCATGGCCTCCTCCAAAGCAGCCCAAAGCAGCAATGATATTTACTATTTTATATATCTCTCTTGCTATGCACCCCAGATCTGCCTTCCCCATATCCATGGCCTCCTCCAAAGCAGCCCAAAGCAGCAATATTTACTATTTTATATATCTCTCTTGCTATATATATATATATCTATATATGTCTATCCTATATACACATAGGATTTTAATGCTTTGAATGAGTGAAGGAGTGAATAGGGAAACAGCGCATGAGTGAGGGGTAAATGTCACCAAAAGCATTAAGGGAAACAGTTGTCAGAGCTGGACATGGAAAAGAAACTATTAACCAACTTGGGCTTTCCAGGCTGGAGAAATTTCACTATGCTGGATAAGGCAGTAACAAGTAGGGTCGTCAGCAGTACTACAGCTAAAGGCAGCGAGGTGGCTGAAGGAGCCAGGTGGCAGAAGAAAAGGTGCAGTAAAAACACTCAGGTCTCACCTGGAAAGAGAGCAACCTCTACCCTCCAGGTCCCCCTTTGCTCCAGATGCAACTAAAGCCTCCAGATAGCTTCTTACCCTGCTCCTTGCCCACTAGGCATGGCCAAAAGGGCCTTGGTGACTTTGGAATTGTCGTGTCTTTGTGGGTAGGAAGTTGGGAAAGAAGCATGTTGGACTTTATTTAGGTGTCTGGGGCTTTGTTGGGAGCAGAAAAGAGAACATAGCAAGTAGCCAGGTGTCCCTGTCCAGATCCCTCAGAAACCACACTCCCCGGATGCAGAGTCCTCAGGGACAGATGGGGCAGGCAGGTGCTGATTTAGTACTATCCAATGCTGCAACACCAGATTACAACAATACTGCGTGATTTAACACACGACCGCACACACAAAGCACACACACACACTCATGTACAAAGGAATATTTTGGTGGTGGTGGTGGTGGTGGATTTTTTTTGTCTTTTTTTTTTTTCTTCCTATTCACATTACAAAAAGAAAGGGCAAGGTCCTGTAGAACTGACAAAGGAACTAACAAATATTACAAAAATATTACAATTTGTAAAGATTAGCTCAACCCTCTCAGCTTTTATGAATGGGGTGGGGAGACCCAGGCTGAGTGGCAGGGCAGGGGTGCGAGGGGGGCTAGCTAGTTCTATGGAATAATTTGATTTTTTTTCCTTCCCCACCAATGTTGAATGACACCTTGCTGTTAAAAATACTGTATTCTGGGATTTACAGATCCCCTGAGGGCCAGCTAGTACCCCTTCCTATCCAGACTAGGGGAGGAAGCCATAGTGCACAATGATTTCTTACAGACTGCCCCTCCCCCAAATGATTTCCCTCTTTTCACATTATAAACACGACAACTGTCCTAGTCACATATTTCAAGTTTAACTTTTTTTCCTTTCCAAAGCACTAAGTCGATATTATAGTTGCAAAATAACATCCTCCCTACCTTATCATCCCTAACCAACATTCCCCCCAATCCACATCCCCCCAACACACAATTTTTAAGGCCTTCAGATTTGGTGGACAAGATTGAAGGGGAGGGCAGGAGGGACGGGGCCAAGGGACGGGGTGGTCACAGCAGCACCCGTCCCTCCGACTTCCTATACTCCTCACGACCCTTCTCCCCAAAACCGCTTCCCTAAACCACTTGTTAAAACCTAAGATCAAACACAGCCACAACTTTCTCAGAGAGAGAAAGGAAAGAAAAACAATAAAATAAAATAAAAACTCTTACACATAAAGCATGAGATGAAACGGAGGGCCCGTCCCAAAGCAAACACGCATATTGCAAATGTGCTTTCCAAACCTCAGGGTGGGGAGGTTGGGGACAAGAGGGGTGGAAGAGCAGCTGAACGAACGGGAGGCATGGAAGGAACAAAAGAACAACCGGACAAACATAAGAGGCAGCTTTTAGAAAAACAACACCCCCAGCACCCCCAAACACAACACAGCCTGCGTCAGCCCCAGAACAGCCATGAAAATAGACCAATTTTGGCAATGATAATGCACGTGGAGGTGGGACCACACAGTCTCAAGGATCTGAATAACAGGCCCTCCAACCTGAATGACCCAGCACATCACAAGAAAGGTGGGATTTTCTGCAGAGGGGTGTAGGTTGAACCAATGACTTTGTGCCCTGGGCAGAGCCTTCAGTGACTCCTGAGTGCCCTTGTGGGGACAATGAGACCCCAGTGCCCCATTCCCCTCCACCCACCTTCTCTGCCCTCCCGGCCTCACGTTCAGATCCTGAGTATCAATCCTGTGCGGCTCCTTCCAGCTGGGAGGCTAGTCTCTAGGGGGCTGGGAGGGGGGTGGGGTGGGGGGCCTTGGCCAGATGAAGTCTATAAAAACAATGATTAATTTACACAAGGAACAGAAAAGAACACCCTCCCCGGCCCTCCAACCCCCAACCAAAAAAGAGATACAGGGGTTAAAAAAGCTCATGAGGTCACAAAAAACTGAGGTAATTCAAGTACAATGTGCTAACAGGGGACACAGAAAAGAAGCAAAACATAACACAAGGCCAAAGCGCTTTCAACTCCTCCTCCTCCTGGTGGACTGGGGGGCCCTGTGAGTCAGGAATTCTGTGCTATTCTCTGGACATGGGTTTCACCCCTGAACTCACTACATCTGGGGTCCCCGGTATGAGTCAGCGACTTCCTCCCCTGCCCAGTTCCCCTACCCCTGGGCGGGGTGACCCCCTCTCCAGGTGTAGGCCCATCCAGAGAAAGATATCACAACTTTCCCTTGGACAATGAGCCTTTTCACGGATTCCTTCTCCTAGGGACTGAAATAGGGTTGTAGGGATTTTGTTTGGTGGGATGTTATATATTTCGTTCTTATGTTTTTCCATTTTGGAAGCAAAAGCAGCTCAGCAGGAATCTTGCTCATAAAGGGGTTTGATAGGGTGGGGTACTAGATTTCTTTCTTTTTGTGTTCTCAGAAAGCTAAGGGTAGAAGGGGCTCTGGAGTCAGCCGCAGCTTTCTCCACTAGGGAACAGGAGGAAGAAGGAGATGCCACCCGACCCATGAGGGGCTGGAAACCCCCTGGGACTTGAGGACAGGTGGCAGGGAAGGCAGTGGGCAGGACGTTGGGGAAGGGGGCAAAAGCCATGAGGCCCTCAGCAACAACGAGGGGCAGACACCCAGATGCAGCAGAGCAGAGGCAAGCAACAGATGAACTCAGTGGTGGGAAGAGAGAGCCCTTCCCCTCAGGCAGTGGGCAGGACGTTGGGGAAGGGGGCAAAAGCCATGAGGCCCTCAGCAACAACGAGGGACAGACACCCAGATGCAGCAGAGCAGAGGCAAGCAACAGATGAACTCAGTGGTGGGAAGAGAGAGCCCTTCCCCTCCCCAGTCTGCCAGCAAACCAGAGCTGCCATTTTGGGCGTCAACCAGCGAGCCAGCCCAGCCCCCATGCCCAGACCCTGCTCTGCCCCCTCCCTTCATCCTCTGAGGAGTCTGTGGAGGAGGGCCGGCAGAGGGCCTCTCGCCCACATCCTGGCCTCCACCTCCGGACACAAAAGGAGGGTCTGGGTGGAGGGAGGAGAAAAATAAGCCACCATCTGAATGAACAAAACCACTCCCACCCCTGAAAATCAGGCAACTCTCTAGCCAGGGAAGGGAGTGGCTTGGCATCCAGGTCACCTGGAGCCTCAGAGAGAATCCAAGGCCAAACAGCTATCAGGTTTCCTTTCTCTTCTCTTTTTCTTTCTTTCTTTCCTTTTCTTATTTTTTATTTTTTATTTTTTTGCACAGTCCTTCCTTGACTTCATCTGCTCTAACGCTTCTTCCTTGCTCCCCGCTCCTGCTCCACCACCACGGGCCTCCCTTCACACGTAGCACAGGTAGAGGTAAGTCTTCTCTATCCTCCAGTCAGGTGGGATCTCCTCGGGCTTGTGGCCTTTCATGTGCTTCTGCATGGAGGAGAGGCTGGGGCAGTACTCTGTGCAGATGGTGCACTGGTAGGGCGAGGCGCCGTTGTGTGTCCTCAGGTGCTTAATCATGGCCGAGTAGTCCCGGGAGCGCTGGTGGCAGAGCTTACACTCAAAGGGTTTCTCACCTGTTGGAGGTGGGTGGGGAGGAGACAGGGCAGGAGAAAGTGAGGACAGAGGGAGGGGGCTGAGAGGGCCTTGGTCCCTCTAGCTCAGCACTCTCCAGCAGAAACTTTCTGCAATGGTGGATGCCCCATTCAATATGGCAGCCACTAGTCACATATGGCAATTAATGTGGCTAGTGCAACTGAGGCACTGCATTTTTTATTTTATTTCATGTAACTGACGTAAATAGCTTCATGCAGACAGTGGCTACGGGATTGCTCAGCACAGCTCTAGCCCCTTGCCCTTACTATTCTTAATTCTCCCAAAGGCATTGTCTCTTCCCACTCTTTTGAAGGAAACAGATGTCTAGAAAGGGGGTAGTAGGCCCCAGAAGTCCTTAGGGATGGCTCTTCAGGACACAGTTCCATGCAGGGGGAGCAGGCGAATGGGGTCCTTTCAGGGCCACAGATGGTGGGGAGCAGGTGTGGGGGACATCAAGGGAACCCAGTCCTTCAAACATGCTACATCTGAGCATGTGTACTGTGCTGAAGCTCTAAGAACCTGCCCTGGATGCTGCCTTCTTCTCTGGGGCAAAATGGGGTGGGGGGGGGGAGAGAACTTGGGAGTACACGGCCATACCCTGGCCTGCTATCCCGACCTCCCCTCCACTACAGTCCCCTGGAGCTGAGCAGAGGGTATAAGGGAACCATGTTTCAATACGGTAATTAACTGGCCAGCCATCTCACTATCGATACTCCTCTGTGCAGAGGCCCCAGCAAATAATGAAGTAATGAACAGCCAAAGTGATCTAACTATCGACCAGCTATTTACAATAGTCACTGCCAATGCATTTAATGATCCACCCGCCAGGTCACATCCCTAACAAGGGGCTAAGGAAACCCCTGGGCTCTGGGAAATCCTCTGGATTACTCTAGTTGTCAGCAATCAGCACCCACCCTTTCCTTGTGGCCCCAAGCTAGAGGCAAGAAAACAGAGCTCTGACAGTATGCAGCTCTGCTCATCACTCGCTCTGCCCACTCCTCCCCTCCCATGCCAACACCTCCCGCTAAGCCACCAGGACCTGCCCGAGGTCTCCTCTCCCACTTCCTCCGACAGGACAGCTGTCTCCACTGAGAGGAGGCTTCCTGGTTTGCCAGGTTTCACCACCTCTTATCCTTAGGGGAGGTGGTTCTGCTTCCCTCTCAGTCTTCTTCTAAACTTCCACCCTCCCCACAACCAGTAGCATGCTGGAGGGTTTAACAACTGGCTCTCCAAAGAGCCCTGATTTGTAGTATCTGTTGATTGCCATGTTGTGAATACTCTCAGGATAGCCAGTTTTAAGGAACCAAGGTGATGCCACTGAACTTGAAGTTGGGAAGAAATGTGCAAAACAGGTTTTCACAACCAAATGCGGGCCAGCTCCAGGACTCCACTGCCCCCAACTTGGGAACTTCTGGATGCCTGGATTGCTCACGCTTGTTCTGTCCTTGGACCCCTAGGGAAAACAGCCGCTCACATTTCTTTCACGTAAAAAGAAATGTAAAGGCACTTTGAAAGGATAAAACATTATACACATAGAGGGGTTGCAAAATACATCTGCTCCTCTAATCTCAGAACTGACCTCTAACTTAACAATTTCACAACCTTCATCATAAGCTAATTCAACACGTCCCAATTCTTACTCTAACCCTTCATCAAACCATCCTAACCTGAACTTTCAGCTAATGGGGCCAACTTAACCCTCTTTCAAGACTCACGAATAGACTCCTCCTGCACGTCACTCTGAATCATTGGTGCAGCTACCTGGGGCTGGTCTGGGGTCTCGGGAAAGTGTGCTGTGATTGATTAGCAACGTCTACCTTGGCCCTGAGAGGGGTGCAGTAGCACACAGGCCACCATACTATCCCTTAACAGAACCCCTCTTCTCTTCGGTTCAGCCTTAGACCATCCTCACTTGGGCTTCTCTGGAAAACCATCTGCTCCCCCCCACACCCAGGTCCCCTGACGGGTGCTCAGTATACCTGTGTGCACCCTATAGTGCGTCTCCAGCTGGTGCTTGAGGCTGAACTTCTTGCCGCAGCCATTGCACTCGTAGGGTTTCTCGCCTGTGTGGATGCGCTTGTGGCTCTTGAGTGTGCTTTCATCCCGGAAGCAGCTGCCGCAGAACTCACACTCATATGGGTGGTCGCCTGTGGGGACAAGGGGCTGGATCAGGCCCTTGCCTCTCTCTGCCCCCTCTTCAGGGGACAGGAGGGCACACTCAGTGCACCAGGAGGAGGATTGCCTGTATTCACCACCTACAAAGATGACTTAAGCATCCAAAGCCTCTGTGGGTCCCCATAGCAGGAAGTACCTATGTTCACATGTGTCCATACGTTACTGTGGTTCAGTGGTCATCCGAGGGGCAAGGGCCACTCCCACGAAAAGAGAATCCATTTGGCGCAGGGATGAACAGCAGTGCCCAGAAAGCAGGCCCCCATAAGGACAGAGCAGACCCGGGGCTTTGAGACCTTGTCCCTCTGATTCTCATATGACCTCTTCTCCCTTTCCTCTGGGTCAGGAGTAAAAGTCACTCCAGCCTGACTCCCCTAGCCTCAAAAAAGTCTCTCCAATTTGGGGAACTTCTTATTGTCCCCCAAATACCTTCCGCTCTTTCCCTCCTCCACAGTTTTACACAGCTGGTTCCTCTGCTTGATTTGCTCTGTTCTCCCGGTGAACTCCTACTCATCCTTCCAAGCCCAGCTCATACATCATCCCTGTTGGGAAACTTCCCTTTAGTCTCCCAGACAGAATGAGTGACACTTTCTTCTCTGTCCTGAAAGAGAAGAAATGTCCAGCATTTTGTTCATTACAAGTAGTATAATTTTTTAAGGCATGTCACTGTCTCATTAAAATGGCCCCCATTTGTTGAGTGCTCAATGCTGTGCAAAGAACACACAGATCATATCACGTGATCAGGGTAACAACCTTAAAGATATTATTCTCATTTTAACAGATGAGAAAAAAAATGGAGATGCTTAGAGATGCCTGGATATCATCCCCAAGGTCAAATAACTAGTAAGTAGGTGAGTTGGGATTCGAGTTTGGTTCTAGAGTTTGGATACTGTATACTTATTGGGCTGCTAATAGACCCACTGTCCTGTATCTACGGGAATGCCCACCTTGCCTCTAGAATGGAAGTGCCTCAGGGGTATGAAGTGACCCTCATCCATCCCTGCAGCCTCAGGGCATAGCACAGGGATGACCCAGAACAGACACTCAGGAAATACTTGGTATATGAAAGTTGGGGAGAATCAGCTTTTCTCGGTCTGGAATCTATGCCCATCAGCCGCCTTTTGGGGTGTCCTGCTCTTAAATCCCTGGAGGGTAAGAGGTTGGGGTGTGGAGATTAACCATCCTGCATTTTGTATCCAAAGTGGGGGATTGGGGGTATAAAAGGTAAGGACTTACGCTACTTATTTATTACGGGAGTGAAAGCACAGACAATAAAGATAGATTGATCACCTCAGACTTCGTTCATGAATATTTAAATATCGCTGATTCGTCTTGTCACTGTAATTACAATTTCTCTGGGCTGCATCTCCAACAACCACAGTTTATGGTAAAGAATGGCCCACTGTATTTCACTTGTCCCTCTGCAGATGTGCGGGGCTGCCAACCGTGTAATGTCCTCTGCATTTCATACATTTTCCTCAGCTGCTGAAGGTTTAAGTCATCCACAATGACCTACGTTTTTTCATTATCCCCATGTCAAACTGCGCTCGTGCCTGGGCATAAATTGTCCTTCTCGTTATAGACTTGCATGCCTGTGCCTTCACTTCCTTTTTAAAATGATATTTTACTCTCTCCTTTCTCTCCCCTCCTCAGGCCGCTAACCAAACCTCTCCCCTCCCGAATGCGGGCCCCTGTACCCACATAAATTCTCATCTCTTCTGATGGCTCTGAAGGGTTTTTAAGGCTCTGTGGGGAGTGAATCCTGGGGTCTTGTTCACTGGCTGACTCTCTCGTGGGTGGAAGATTTTCAAGAAACACTGAGGGCATGGGGGGGGCACTTCCTTCGAGGAATCGAACAGGAGAAGCTCAGAACACAGAGCCCTCGACACCAGTTCACCCCAATGGATGGGGCACTGCTCTGGCTCAGAGGCATGGCCAGTGAGTCCCCCCCCATGCAGATCTGCAGATGGACCAAGTTCTAGGGCTCTCAGCTGGGGAAACCAGTTCCAGCCCATTTTCGCTGCCAGGGCTATGCAGACTGACTGGACCAGCCCCCAGCCCCATCAAACCCAAGGGGAGTGGAGCCCATGCAGACCCTGGCACTAATTAGTCGTGTGTCTAACAGAGCAAGGGCCAGTCTGTGTGTGTGTGTGCCCCAGTACGTCTCTCTGTGTGTCTGCACACAGGGCCCCGTCTGGTCTGACACCCAACTCCCCCTCCTTACCGAATCGGCAACAATTACGACTTTAATCAAAGATTCAGTATCCTCATTAAGATATAAATAAATAAATAAAGCAAGGGCCATGTGAGACTTCAGCCAGAGCCAGTAATTAAAATGTACATCGGCAGCCACCCAGCCGGAGAGGGGGTGGGAGGGATGGGAGGTGACAGGCGGGAGGACAGCTGCCTGTGTCCTTAAGAGGGGGGCCTTAAGAGTTTGAAAAACAAAAGGTTAAGACAGAGGGGTTTGTTTGATTAGATTTTTATGAATTTAATTATGAAGTGGATCCCACATCAAATGAGTTTAAATAGGAAATCTGAGTCTGCACAGGGAAAGAAATACAAAGAACTTAGGGGGGAAAAAAAAGAAAAGTTAGCAATGCGCATGTGTGCATGCACACACACACGTGCACACACCCAATTTTGAAGCATTGCGAGCACCTGGCCTGAAATCCTCACCCTGAGAGTTAATCGTGTCGGTGCTGCCATAATGTACACAAAACTGGCTGTAGAACTCAAAATCCAATTTGTGGTATGTTGATTAACTCGGTAGCCTTTTTAATGAGCTTGACATTAAGTGCAGGACAAACGAGACTAATTAGAAGCCCCCTCTGGCCTGCCCAGTGCACCTGTGACCCCCCACCCTCAATCTGTGCTTACCTGGTGTGTTCCCTGGCACTAGCTGAGCTCAGTGACATCCTCCCCACCCGAGCCCCAGCCCCTCGGCTCCTCAGGCCCCTCCCCTCAGCACAGCTGAGAGTTTATTATATGATGAGCCATGTGAATCGGGGATCCATCAATGCCAAGAGCACGGCTGGACTAACCTACCAAACACAGCTGCCGATGCTAAACACCCAGCCACGGCAGTGAATGGGCCAAGAACAACGGAATATTAATGAGGCATTGTGTGAGGGGTGTGCAGAGCCTGTGTAGAGCTTGTGTGCACAGTGCCTCGCTGGTGTGAACGTCAATGGGTTTCTGTGTGTGTGCTCCCAGCAAACATGTTTCCTAGCATAAGGGCTTCTCCTGAACCCTGCCTGGAAATAGCCGCTCCATGATTGATACCAGGGCATGTGACTTTTTTTTTTTTAAAGATGACTGGTAAGGGGATCATAACCCTTGACTTGGTGTTGTCAGCACCATGCTCACCGAAGTGAGCAAACCTGCCATCCCTATATGGGATTTGTACCCATGGCCTTGGTGTTATCAGCACCACACTCTCCTGAGTGAGCCACGGGCCAGCCCACTGACGTGACATTTTGATATCTGAGTTCTGAGAATGTGGCATGGGCAGAGGAAGGTGTATCCTAGGTGGATTTGGATTTAGCAGGGCTGGGATCATTCAAGTCACACGACGCCAACTGATTTGACCTAGCGACATGCTCAGAAGTGGCTGAAAGGTGACTGGACATCTTTCATAAAGCTGAACTTGGGGACCCATTGAGGGAGGTATTGATAGGAAGGTGCATACACCTGGAAGGGAGATGCGTATGCAGTCACTGTACAGAACGTCCCTGTCAGTATCCCTTCCTCCTCGACCCTTCTTGTTGGGCCCTGCCCTCTGGGACCTCCCCATCCTATCCTAGCAATTCTAAGTAGTTCTAAGCAAATCTGGTGGTGCACAGGCATTGTGCTCCCCTGAAAAGAATGGCATCCAGAAGTGAGAGCCCAGGCAGGCTCCTTGGTGAGAATGCCTATTGGTGGCAGAAGAAGCCAGCTCAGTCCACGATAAATAAAGCCCTTCAGCAGCGTCTACCACCCATGCAAGGCCTGGCCTGCATAGTCAATCACTGAGCTGTGAGGACACTCACAAGAATGAGGAGAGAGAGGGTAGAGGCCTGCAGATTTTTATGCCCTCTCCAAAAGACATGAGCATATACTCTGTTGCATACCCATATAGAGACCTGACCTCATCCCTCCCCCAAACACAGCACAGAAAACACATAAGCAGGGACATGTGCAGACTCAGAAATGGGAATCCCTTTACTCAGGTACAGTCAGCGAAGACCCAATTCTGTGTTAGACAAAGGAAGGAATTTAAGCCATCTATGTCCCTGCTAGGGAAGACAAGGGGCTACTGCAAAGAGGCAAATGCCTCTTGGCCCTCAGGGACCAAGTGTCCCATCCCCCAAACCCAGAAGGTGGTGAGAGGGATTGGCTAGTACCTGGGCACCTGGCCCAGCCTCCTTGACTCATAACCCCTCTCTTGCCCCATCATCTGGAATTGGCTGAGAAGGGATATTCCATGGCTCATTATTTAAATACCCTTTGTTGTCTTCCCTTAGGTTAAGGCCTAAGTGTAGGTCTTCTGTGATTGTGGAGAAAGGAGGACCGCTTCTTCTGCGTGCCCTCAAGAGCCTGAAGCTGACTTCAGGAATGTGTGTGGATGGAGCAGGGGCCGCTGAGAATGAGGGGAGGTGGCACAGACAGAGTTAGAGACCAGCAGGTCAGCTTTTCTCAAAATGAGTTTTGGGTCCACCTGCATCAGACTCCCTTGTGAATACCTATTAATAATGGAGTTTTGGACCCCACTCTGGACCACTGAATCAACATTCCTGAGAGTGAAGGCAGAGTTAGAGACCAGCAGGTCAGCTTTTCTCAAAATGAGTTTTGGGTCCACCTGCATCAGAATCCCTTGTGAATACCTATTAATAATGGAGTTTTGGACCCCACTCTGGACCACTGAATCAACATTCCTGAGAGTGAAGAGTCTTATGTTTTTAATGAGCATCCTGTGTTGAGCCTGATAGTCTACAGGATGGTATTAGGAGAATGGTCAACATTTACCTGCACTACAGGAAGCCCCAACGTGTCCAACCCTTTACATCTTTGGAGGTAAATGTAGACAATGGCCCCTGGGGCCCCCCACCCAGCCATCACCTGGACTGGCCTACCTGTGTGCGAGCGCAGGTGGCGTTTGAGGGCTGTGTGGCTGGGGAAGGTGCGGTTGCACTCACTGCAGATGTAGCTGCGCACGCCCGCGTGGACCTCCATGTGCTGCTGGAGCGCACTCTGCGCCTGGAAGCGCTTGCCGCACAGCAGACAGAAGACAGCCATGTCCGTGCCTGCGGGAGACAGCAGAGGGGAAGAGCCTCAGCAAGGCGGAAACACAGACCAGTTCTTTTCCCATCTGGGCTAGAGTGAGAGCCCACATCAGGACTAACACCTCCAACCCCATGCTCTGGGCCAATCCAGAGGCAGCCCAGGCCATGCAATGATTGAGCACCCAGTACATGGCTCCAGTGGTGTACAAACTTGATGTACGTCCCGCCCTGAGGGGACCTAAAGTCTAGTGGGGGAGAGAAAGATATTAGCCAAATATATCGCAATGGCAAGTGTACATCTGTGGCTGTGTCAGTGCTATGAAGCAGAACCTGGGGCAGGAGGTCGGGAGTCAGCGTAGGCTCTGTGAGCGATGACATAAACGAAGAAAAATATGGGCCAGCCATTGTTCTAATGTAACTAATTTAAAACCACAACTCCAAAAGGTGGGCTCTATTATCCCCGCCCTTCAGATGGGGAAACTGAGGCACAGAAAAATTAACTAAATTGTTCAAAGTTCCTCGGAGTTCATAAGTGGCAGAGCTGGGAATCATAACGCAGGCAGCTTGTATGCGAATCCTTTCCCGAGGCTAGCTACAGACCCTGTTCTCTTAACCACTTCTCTCCACTAAATCATGAATCTTCAGGGTCCATTCATTCAACAAATATTATTTTGGTACCTTCTACAAGTAAGACCCTCTTTTGGGCTCTGGGGATATAATGATGGAAGAGCATACACACTGTCTCTGCTCTCGTCAATAACGTTACACAGCTCACTGGACAAATGGAGGAGAGCGTTCCTGGAGGACAAACTAGTGCCTGTGAACACTCTGGGCTGGAAAGAATCTTGGTGGGGCGGAGGATCAGACAGGAGAATGATGTGGCTAGGAAGAGGTGGGACAGGAGGCTCCAGGGGAAAGCAGGGACCGAGTCATATGGGGTCCTGAAAACCGTGTCAAGAGCTTTAGGTTTCATCCTAAGACCAATGGGCAATTTTCAAAGGATATTAAGCTAATGAGTGACACGAGATTTTCATTTCTTTCTGTCTAGCCATTCCCTGAGCTGATCAGTAGCACGTGTACCCCACAGTACCCCACAAAGAGAGGCTGATGCTTCCTTTTTGTTACTGACCCCTTTTTGATGCTGCTCTGGATCCATGGCCTTTCCGGCTACAACACCACGGGAGGAAATGCCTAAACCCCTCATCTGAGTCCTAACTGGTAGCTCACGGCCCATCATTTTGGATTCTGTTTCCCTAAGCAGGTCAGCTCCCCTACAAGCCAACCAGGACGTCTTTGCTGGCATCTGGGCAATGTCACCTGCATTCAGCCCTGCACCACCATGCCCTGTGTGAGGGACAGAAGCAGGAAAAGTGGTCAGGCCTAGTGCCTATAATCCAGTCCAAAGTGGAGGGAGGGCCAGAGCTTTAGCTGCTGCAAGTCATGGGCTGCTTGGTGTGGGATTCAGAAGCTCCTAGTGGAAGGTGGGGGTAAAGAGAAGGAACAGCATAAAGAATCTGCTACCTCCTTGGCCCACTGATGAAGACAGAAGATGGGAGGTCTGTCTTGCCTCCTTGGTCCCAGTTACGGCTGGGTTTGGGATGAACTAGTGGGAAAGCAAGGACCGTTCTCACTACTACCCCCCCACCAACCCACCCCTCACACCCTGCGATGGGCCCCTCCTCTGCAGACACTAATATCTGGGCACCTGCAGCATGCTCCATCCACCAGCAGTCAGGAAGGCCAAAAGGAGAGGGGATTATAGCCGGTGCACGACTGCTCTGGCCCTGAAAGAGCAGAAGGGAGGGAACTAACTTCGGCATCGCGCTAGGTGCTTTATCTGTGTTGTCACTGCATTTAAAACTTGCAGCCCTACAAGGCAGGCATTCTTATCCCCTTTTTTGAAAGAGCAGAAGGGAGGGAACTAACTTCGGCATCGCGCTAGGTGCTTTATCTGTGTTGTCATTGCATTTAAAACTTGCAGCCCTACAAGGCAGGCATTCTTATCCCCTTTTTCAACCAATGGGAGAACAGAGAGATGAAATAATTTGCCTAAGGTCACACAGTTAGAAAGAGGCAGAGTTGGGATCTGGAAACATCTCGATCTGTCTGATTTCAGAAACCATGAGGCTAGGCCCAATTTCACCTCTGGGCTGGCCACCTGTCTGGGTGGCTTCTTCTGGAAGAGGCCCAGTGACAAGTTAGGAGCACCAGTGCATCCAGGGCCCACTCCATGTGATGGAAGGGGACACATGGAAAGAAGTGCTCTATGCAGGCAGTGAGTCCCTCAATGTCCAGTCCAGCCTGGTCAGCACACACAGGAGCAGAGTCCATCTGCAATATGTGCTGTGACACATCAGTTCCTGCTGCTTTAACCCAATGGCTCCCAGCATACACGCACTCCCTGCCCTTAACCTCCATCCCACAGAGAGCCCCCATTAAGCCAGATGCCCTAACAGCTGCCTTAAATCAGTATGATAGAGCAGGCTTTCTGGGCAAGCCATGCCTTTTAAGAGCCAAGGCTTCTCCTTATGCATCCCCTGAGATCTCCAGCATGGAAGGCACCTGGGTCAGAGAAAAAATAAATGGCACCCCCAGTAGGACACCCTGAGCTTACAAAGCCAGCCAGAGGGGATCCAAGCCAGGTACTGCCCATTAGTGTAGACCGAGAACCCTGCAGCACTCTCCCTCCATGGTTTTCCCCAGGCCCCAGGCTGTGCCATCCCTACCTCTCATGATGGCCTGAACTCACTTCACATCCATTTAGCCACTCACTGAACCACTACAAAGTGGAGGCATCATGCAGGGTGACCAGGGCAATGCTGAGGCAAGCAGAGAAAGCAGGTCCCAGACGAGTGGGGACACTGGCAACAACCATCCAGAGGACAAACAGGTGATTCAGAGATGGCTTAAGAGAAGACGTGAGTTAGGCTCTGGGTATGTGAGAAGTTGAGGACCAGGAGGTGGGAGACACAAGCCAGCCTAAGGAAACACTGCAAGCCTTTCTCAGAGCAAGTGGGGCTGGAGGACAGGTCCTGGGGATGGAGATACGTATGCCAGGAAGTAGATGGGGTCAGGTCACAGAGGGCTGCACATGCCAGGCAATGCAGCGCCATGAGAGGACTGGGGGTGAGGGGGTTACGGACTGAATGTTTGTGTCCTCCACAAAATCTATATGTTGATATCCTAACCCTCAAGATGATGGTATTAGGAGGTGGGGCCTTTGGGAGGTCATGAGGGTGGAGCCTTCATAAGTGGGATTAGTGCCCTCATACAAGGGACCCCAGAGAGCTCCCTTGCCCTTTCCATCATGTGAGGACACAGGGAGAAGCCAGCAGCCTGCAACCCGGGAGAGGGTCCTCACCAGGACCTGACCATGCTGGCACCCAGATCTCAGACTTCCAGTCTCCAAAACCGTGAGCAATAAATTTCTGTTGTTTATAAGTCACGCAGTTGATGGTACTTGATTACATGTAGCCCAAACTGGCTGAGACAGGGGTGGCACTATATGGTCCAACCTGTGCATGAGGGCAGCGCCTGCAGGTAAGGCATGGGAAAAAACAGAGGTGGCAAGTGGCTGGAAGCAGGGAGAGAGCTGCTGGCACTTGTGCTGCCACTGGAGGAGGGTGGGGACCAGACAGGAGCAGAGACTGCAAGGACAGGAGGCTCATGGAGAAATGAAATCCAGCAAGGTGGCAGGATGAGGCCTGGGGCCTAGGCTAGAACTGGGAGAATGGTACATATGAAGTTCTGGACCACCAGCTCTGCACCTTGTTGGCAGGTTTAAAGTTAAAGTCATCACCTGCAGGGGAAATGTTATGATGTCACCATAGTGGCCACTCTCTCCTTCCTGGGACGTTCCACAAGGTGCAGGGGGTCTCCCCTAGCCAATTATCCACCACCCAAGGCTCACCAGGGAAGAAATGGGGACTTGAAGGCCCTACATCCTCTTACCCCTTTCTTCTGCTCAAAGACTGACAGCTATGATGATGGAACAGTATTTTAAAAAAAAAAAAAGAGAGAAAAAGGCAGAGGAGATGTGGATGAGACACAAGAAAAACTACTGGTGCATGCAGGTTAAAAATCTAGAGACTAGATTGGAGTTATTAAACAATTTGATGTTGTTTCGGCCTAGCTGATTGTTCGCATGTATGATGAGTCGGGGAAGATTCTATTACACTGGGAGATTAAGCAAATAAATGCTAGCTTTTGGAAACGCATTAAAACATGGGACTATGGAAATAAAATTATCTAGAAAATTGTATTAGCAATTCATTAGCTGCAGTGAGATGTGCATTGGGTCAAGGGGCCCGACAGCATTAGACGGCTCTGCTCCCTTCAACGCCTGAATTCTGTCCTCAGCTACGGAGGGACATCAGGCCTCTGCACTGGAGAGAGGGGCGGAGCTCCAACTGGACGAAGAAGATCTTCAGGAACCATAAGGTCAGCGTGCACAAGGGAAGAAAAAGAGGCCCCGGGGTCACAGCTCTGACATTTTCCTTGCCTTGTGACCCTGAGCAAGTCAGTCATTTAACTTCTCTGGATCATCTGCTTATCATTTGCATATTGCTTGTGGTTGCTGAGAACACCAAATGAAACATCCATGTGAAAAAGCTTTATAACTGTAAAGTGGTCACAGAGCCAATGCCACCCTAATCAATGCTTTTTATCTGAATTAGAAAATCATGTCTCTCCCTCTGGACAGACACAGACCCTCGTCTGGGTGCACATTATTGGTGAGCAAAGAGAGGGCTAGGTTTCAGCCTCTGTTTCCCCCTCAGCTAGGCAGCTTTGTGCAGTGAACGACCTGGACCACCATTCATAGCAGCCCTGTACAACATATAAGCCTAGGTTGTTTTGTCAACTCTGGGCTGCTTCTTCCAGGAAGCTGACCCTAGAGAAGGCATTTTGGATGAGTTAAACCGTTTAGGACTCAGTGCCAAGGACATCATCTTCCTCCAAGCTCTCACTGTTACAACACATAAAACCCTTTATTGCATTTGTTTTTATTTTTTTATTTTTTG